GCCGGCGTCGCTGTCGGAGTCGCAACTGCGTAAATATTTCACTTTTTATTTTTTCAGCGTTCTCCTTGCTCTCCTGGCACGTGTGAGTGTGAGTGAGTGTGATAATGCCGAGTGTGTGTGTGTCAGCCCCAGTACCCTCCACCTCCTGTTTCTCCTTCCCCTTTTCTGGCTCGCCTCCTCCTTCCACCCATCGCTGCGCACTCAATTAAGCTTATCGCGCACTGTCCGTCTGCGTGCTTGAGTATCTGTGTGTGTGTTGGTTTGTATCTGTATGTGATTTGTTTTTGTGTGTGCTTTAGTATCTGTGCGTATCTGTGGGGATACCAATGTGCTTGCTTCTTTAGAGGTGACTTTTCTCGTCGGCGCTCCTTGGAGGGTACGAGGAAAACATCTCTGCTCACTTCTCGCTTTCTGCCTTTGCGTTCGCTGATCTCCCTCCCACCAATACACCCCTATCCCGCCCTCCCCCTTCACTAGCGTATTGTTGGTGTCGTGTGCAAATGGCCCCAACAGCGGCGGCCGCAATCGAAAAATCCTCTTTGAGAGGATTAAAATATACACACAGCTTTTCGAATTGTCATGTGCTCTTTGCCTGCCTGTCAGAGGAACAGTGGGGCAAAAGCGATAATAATAAGCAACAAGGATTGTGTGGGTAGCAAAAGAAATATCGATCATCATATTATCTTTATTATAAATATTCCTCCTCTTTCCTAAATCATCCCTGCTAGCCTCAAGTATCCTTTGTCTGAATTAGTTAAATACTTGAAAAATATTGATGACAAGCTACAAGTGTAACTCAATACCAATCAATCCGAATTTAATACACACCTTTTCCAAAAAGCGAAAAGTATATAGCCATTTAATCAGGACTTTGGTGATAGTTTATTTTTCAAACAATTATATATTAAAACACCACTGTGCTTGTTGGTTGTCCCCTATCCGCAATCCGCAATCCCCAGTCGCCTTCCCACAAACGGACAAACGGACAATGTCCCCTGGCAAAGCTTAAGGGTAGCAGCGACGGCGGCTGCGTCGCTTTCAATTACATTTCATTTGCATTTCGTAGTTGCTTATTTCTGTGTGTTTATTTCTTTTCGCCGATGTTGCCTTTTTCCCCGACAAACACAACCACATCAGTGTACTATAATATTTGCAGCCTTAAGTCGGATGCCTGGCCATCCGCTCTCCTTTTTGTTTTTTCGCTGTCCGTTCATTGGAGAATGCAAAATAGGAAACGGCTGGCAGATGTATGTACATATATGTATGCATGGCCGATTGTGTGGGTGAGTGATTTTTCAGTTTTCAGGCACCACAGGGCGAATACTTGATGCGGACATTGAGCTGCGCCGGCAGCGACATGGACCTCGTTAATTGAATTAAAGTGCATGCGTATGTATGTTTGTAAGGCAAGCAAAAAAGGCTTAAAAACGGTACCTAAAAAAATAAATAACTGCAAACAGCAGAGGAAAATTGTGAAACCACGTGTTTACGACCGAAAAATCACCAAAATCCTTAGGCCTTTTATAGTTCTGTTGTCTGTAGGCAGCTGGTATAAACTGATCTTTTATTCGTAAGGTGTAGAAGTAATAGCTATATATTACATTTATATCGCAAAGTATATAAAGTATATGTATTCTTGATCACCATCGCTAGGAGAGTCGATCTAGCCATGTCCGTGTGTCCGTCCGTCTGTTTGTTCGTCTGTCCGTCTCTCAGTTTTAAGGCACAAAACTTTCCCAAAAGTTGTCTTTATGTTGCAGGTAGTGGATAGAACGACTATATCATATAGCTCCCATAGGAACAATCGGGAAAAAGTTTAATTTTGCTGTTTTTCAATCTTTTTGTATAGTTCTTCGACATTTAGTGATGGCTTATTATTTTAAAATACGGTTAACATTTGATCAAAATCGGACGATTATGTCATAAGGCTTCCATGGGAGCATTCGAAATGTTAAAAAAATTAAACAAAAATTGTAACTTCTCTAATTCTTAATTTTTGTTTGTAGTTGTATGAATGGCTTAATAATTCAGAACTCCACTTTTGAGTCGTTGATTTAAACCGTTATCTTATAAAAATTGTAAATTCATAGAAATTTAAGGAAATTATTTGCCTTCAAAAGTTTATTTAATTTTAAAAAATTCCCCAATATAGTGTTATACAAATCAAAATGTTGATACTTCGAACAACGGTACTATATCCGGAGTCCAAAGAGTTAACACTGCCTTTTGGCTTCTGTCTTTTGCCCAGTTTTTTGGCCCATTCTCTTTTCGTGAAGATTTCTGCCTAAGTTACAAAACATATTTTGGTCACTGACCTTTTCTGTTTTTTTTTTGTATTTTTTGTTGATTCCTCATTTTTTGGCTGACTTTTGAGCTGTTTTTGTTTGTGTTCCACTTTTAATTTAGGTTTTTGCAGTAGTCGGAGTTTTTGTGCAGATTGCTAATTAAAAAAGGAGATATATGGGGTACACGCGCGACTTGCGCGACTTGTGCACTATCAGGATGGACAATCGGGGCAGCAGATACCCGAAAGCGAAATACCTGGCATTCTTTGGGAACGTGATACAAATCAGAAATGCATTCAGCCAGCATTTCATAAAACGCCAGATGTCCCAAAATATTAACATGAGGATCGGGTGGAGCTAAGGAAATGAGAACCACACGGGGAAACAGCAGGCAACAGACATTTATTTAGCCTGGCATCTGGTGCTTGCAAATGAAATAAATAAATATTAAATCATTCTAAATAACAATAATCATGGAATGTATTGTGCGAATTTGGTTTCGAAGAATTGGTGAATACGAAAGAAAGGGCAGGAAATCGGCTCAAAAGGCAAGAAACTTATATACAGAACAAAATTCAATATTCTTTAGCTTGAAGATAAATTGTTATTTAAATATTTATAACTGTTTAACTTGACACAAAATTATTTAATCAAAGATTATGATATAGTTATTAAAATAGGAGCATTTCGGTCCGCTTAGTAATATGAAATATTTATTTAAATTATTAATTTCATTCCAAACATGCTGTTCTTATTTTGCTTTTTAATTGATTTTCCTCTTACTCTTAGTTTTACAGAGTAAATACGTTTTTCTCTGTGTGTTCAAGGAAGAATGAGACAGGGTGCCGAGGAGAGAGTTCTCCCTCTCCCTTTCTTTTGCCCCCTCTGTTATTGCGTATACGACGCGTGGACTTTTACTGTTTCGATTGTATTTTAGGTTTTTACCAACAACAACAACGTAAATGCTTCGATCAGGTTGACTTTTGTTACTCATGTTATCTTCTTTCTCCCTCTTTCTTTGCTGCTTTAACTGTTTCGATCGCCGGCTGAACAACAGTTATAATTTGAGCATAATTTCAACTGAGCGCAAGGTGTTTACGAGTGTGTGTCGGCAAACAAACAGAAAAAAGCTTTCGCAAAGAGCGGAAAATATAGTAAAGAGAGAAATAGCTGTTGCTCTTGTCGTTTCATTAACAAAACAACCGCAAAATTTATGTGCGATCAGAGACATGGCATTCGTTTCCTTTTTGCGCCAATGCAAAATAATAATTCATGATTTTTGTTGTTGCGCTACCACAGTGTGAAGTGGGTTAGCGAAAAAAAAATGACAGAAGTAACAAATAATCCACCCAAGACAAAAACAAATGCAGATCAGAGACGGAGATTGGGATTTTGGGCTCTGATCTCGAATGGGATTTATATTTGCATAATTGAATTTTTTGCTTTTCGCACAGGTGCAGGTGCAGAGTTGTCGCTCGACCAGGTTAACCAAGGTAGCTCATTGAAGCTAATCAGCTAATAACGTAATAGCACAAAATACCCAGAAATCAATTATGTATCTGATTCATCTTGCTAACTAAGTTTTCATCTATGGCGTTACCATTAAGATCAAAAATCAGAAAAAAATAAAAATGAAGCTATGAAATCATTAACATTTAAGTTTTATAAATGAATGTTACATTTTTGTGATACTCTTATTTGAGGTGAATGATTAAAACATTTGTCTTAGTGGAAATATGTCGCGCATTGGATTTTTCATTCGTTCACTCGTTCACATACTCACTATTCAATCAGTTCATTCACAAAATCGTTAGCGGGATCATATATGTTCCAGACACTGGAAGCCACTGGATGTCACTGGAAGTCACTGAATGCGACCCATGAAACTGTAAGGCTGATCGAAAGGGGTGCGGCCGGCGACTGGACGTGGAAGTGGGGGATAAAAAAGGAAATGGGCGACTGCAAATGATAGAGATCACTGAAGCACGACCGACAAATAAGCGGCGGACGTACGTATCTATGTATCTAGTATCTGTTAAGTAGTGCGGTGGCATTACTATCCATGTACCGTATACGTAGATGTGAATGTGTATCTGTACCAGTATGTCTATAAATGTCGGATGTAAACAGAGCCTTTCCAAAAGGCGTAGCCTTTACGTGTGTTGGTGCTGGTGATACTGAGCTTGTGTGCGGGAGATTGTTAGAAGAAAATGTATCTGCGAGGCTTTGGATTCTACTAGATCCCCAACACGACCCTAGGCCGATTTTAAAAGCTAAGCTTTAAAGCTTAGCTGGCAACCAATCTTTAATTAAAAGTAAGCGGACGTCGAATTGCTCATCAAACTCATTAAAATCTTTATCGAAATTCTTTGGAAAAAAATTAAGGAATATTTTTCAATAGTTGCGTTATATTGTAATAATTTGAGTTTCATGGTGTCATGAAAAAAAATCTTAAAAATTCTTAAAAAAATGTTATAAATCTTTTGTGACCTTTTTTTTAGTTATTAAAATAAACAAATAACATTTTAGTATTTTAAAGACTACAATGTTTAACGATATATCTTTCAACTACTAATGAACATTTATGAAAAAAATCATTCGAAAGAATATTGGTAAATCTTTACGAGAAGACTAAGAATTTGATACTTCGACCTTTCTGGAAATCAAAATCATAACGATCCTCGACCGAGTTCCGTGGAAAATCTCAACACTTACCAATTCTACGAAGATTCTTGGTAATCCGTTTTGCGGTTTAGTCAGCGGAAGAAGGCTTGCAACACTCGAAATCACTTGTTGTTTTATCTGTTTTTTCTTCTGTTGTTGGTTACACGTAATTGGCAAACGAGGTGAACACGGGGCCGAAAGCGGAATGCACACCAAACAGGCAAAAAGGCAACACGAAAACAGCTGAGGAAACGCCGCGCACGAACCTCCAATCAGAAATGAAACGGCAGGGATGTCGACGTCGACGCAGAAGCCATTTTACTATATTTGTTGTCCCTGAGCTCCGCTCCCAAAAAAAGAGAGAGCGAGAGGCGCTGAAGAGAGCTTTAAAGGTGGATACACGAAGCGGAGCTGAAGCCTTACCGAAAGCTTTGATCAAACGACACGAACTGAGCTGTGAATCGTGGAGTATGGATGAATTGTTAGTGGTAGTGGGCGGCGGTATTTTCTTATTGCTCGCGTTGAAAAAACGCAAGTGGATGTGGACGGATGAGCAGATGAAATGGCAAGAAGCAAGCTTTTGAATGGGGCTCCAAGTGTTTAAGAGCGCAGCGCAGTCACTGCCGGCAGAAAACGAGAGAGCGAGCGGCAGAGAGCAGTCCCAACTTGACATTTCACCGCTGCGTTGGCGCTCTACCCTAACGCTCTCTCCTTCTTGTTCTTCCAATCTCTCGTTGATAAGCTTGTGTTGAAATCAAGTCTCCTGTGCTCTCGCTCTTTCTCACTGATGCTTCACCACCCCCCTCTTCACACTACACTGCTACATCAGCGTATTACGAAATATGACAACAATGCAGTTTGGTCGTCCTCGTTTCCATTCTGCCGACGCAGCGGCTTCTTCTTCTTCTGTTCTTGTTCTGTCCCATCTTCTGCTTTGTCAGCATAAATGCTCTCTATCCATCTCCGACCTCCCCAAAGAGAGAGGGAGAGGCAGAGAGAGAGAGAGAGAGAGAGTGGGTGGCTTCTGTTTGTTTGTTTTCAACCCGCTGCACTTGCCAATTGATTGCATTTTAATGAAGTTCTGCCGAATGCTAAAAATAGTCAACTCTCCATTCTAGGGGCGATACGGAGACAAGGGGCGTGTCGCGGGAATTTGTGGCTTTGCACATTCCAAGTGCAGCAATGCATCGACGGTAACTAATTCCAAATGCCAGCTATTACGGAAAACTGGTTTGATCGGAAAAGCGTGCCAGGTATGCTCGACTCTTGATCACTCAACCTCCTCCCAACCTCCACTGTACACCCTCTTTAAAAAACGATTGCGCGCGCGCTTCTTACTAAAATCGAAATGATTCGATATTTTCCCCACTGCACTGACTTTAAGTTGAATAATTGTTGCTGGGGTTACCCTGCACTGAGAAAATATTTAAGATACTATTTTTGTTTTGCTTATTGAGGGAATTTTTCGTTTTTAAAATATTTAAATATTTAAAATATCCTTTTTAATAAATGCCTTTACCCCAAAAAGGTCTTCGTTTTTGGCCTGTTTTTAATTTCTTTATAGATGTAAGTGGTAGTTTGCTTACCATACAACTTTCTCTTAAGTTGTACATAAAGCCACAAGCCACAAGCTTGGTCTTTCATAAACAAATTTGAGGATAAATTCCTATATAGATAATTGGTTAAACGTATTTAGCCAGACTCCTTTTTTTAGGAAGAACGTACTTATACTTTTTTCTGAATTAATTTTTTAATTAAATAGTTTATTTATTTATTTTTCGTTTCAGTTTTTATAAAGACAAGAATGTTATTATTTTGTAACTCTTTATGCCTAGCGCACTGACTTAGAAGCTAAAGGCTTGTAGCGTTAGGATGAAGCCTTAAAAATAAATTATTAACAAAAAATCGGAGTGCTTGTTTTTTTTCGTGTGCCGTGGCATACGTAGCCCACTCGTCAACTGCCTGTCGGGTTTCGAGATCTCGACCTTTGGGAGTGGGTTGCATTTTGGGTAACCCCCAAGCGTAGGGCGTTTCCCGATCTTAAAGGGGGCTTGCTTGGTTATTAGTGCCTATTTGAAGGACCATTAGGCTTCTATGGGAATGATCGTCAATCAAAAGTGTGTTTTTGGGAAACGGGAACAGTTTCTAACGTCGGAGATTATCGTGACTAGGGTAGCAATTATCAGCATTAATCGCTTCTGCCTAAGAAGTTTCCTTCGGTAAAACGTTTTCGAATATTAATTAAATAGGTAAGAAACAAAATAAGAACAGAACTGATATATAAGTTAGTACGGAGTCTTTCTCATAAGTTTCCTCTAACTTTTAATACAAGTAAATTTTGTTTCCTTTTCAAGAAAAGGACAAAATTATATTTAATTGTATATATTTTCCCTTATTCTTTTCCTGCACACCATTGCATGCGCATGTAAGTTTAGAAACTAAAACCCAGATACTATAACTTTTGTTATCGACATGAATCACCGTCAAAATGATTCAGCAGGGCGATTCAAATGCATCCCTCGGTTGCCTAGTACCCCCACCCCTTAATTGTTAAACCCTGAACTGTAACCAGATAATTTGCATTGCCTTGTGAAATACGGCAGGTTCCAGGGGCTAACGAGAGTATACGAGTATCTGGTATAAAATACTCGCTTGGCTAAGCCCTCTCTGTCTAAGGGGAACTGCCCGGTGTTCTGGGTCCGCGATTCAACAGGTTTGATCCGATCTGGCTGCCTGCCAGGCCATTTACTACTTGGCTTGGATTTTTTCCCGCTATTCAAAGTGCCACACAGCTGAAATAAATTAATTGCTTAGTTGTTGTTACTGCCTTAGCGGCATTATTTGAGATGAAATTTGCTTTTAATTAATAAACTCTCCACAAGCGAAGGCAATTTTGTTTTCTCGCTCTTAAGCACAAAGCAAAAAACATTGTTTTTATATCCTATATAAGCGTCATTCTTCTTGAGCAATTTAAACGCCACGTAGATTTACTGCAAATAGTCAAAGTTCAATCGTATGTGGCTAGATAAAATTCTCATTTTGATGTAAGCAATTAATATCATAAAAATATGATTTAAATTACTATTTTCTTTATTTTAAAATCCCATCCAAAAGAACAAGAAAATGTACACAATATTCTCTGTTTTTTCCTGTGTATTCTCTGGGCTTTTCAACCTTCGGAGATGCCTGTGCGTGGGGGTTTTCTTCTAACCATGTGTGCGTCTCCATAGACGTGTGTGTTTTGGTTTTATTAGACCAAAGTCGTGCACTACGTTAGCCAAAGTTGAGTGAGTGAAACGCGTTCTGCGTGGGATTCTCTAATACGATGATGGTGGCTGCTATTTGGGTTTTGGCCGATTCTGAAACTGGTTTTCCACTTGGCCAACTTGCCCATCAAGGAGTCGCCACGAAACAAAATCGAATGGCAGTTGAATAAAACGGACAAAAACAAAATCGTTAACCACACCAACAAGAGTTAAATTGCGCATAACATTTGAATAATTAAGCGCTGCCTCTCTTGCCTGGTTAATGTCGTATTTGTTTATATACTTTGAAATACCAGGCCAGGGATTCTCCCCAGATTCTACAAAGAAATCCCTAAACTTGCTTGACCTCAATTCTTCGCCAATCTTCCCAGGGAAATCTCTTTGATTTCATAATCGAATCGAAAGTTGAGCTGGCGACGTTTCGAAATCTGTTACTCGAATTTCCAGCTTTGCTTTTCGTATAGGGATCCTCGCTCCGCACACAAAGGCATAATCAGAGCTTGGCGTGCCCTTTTTTCCAGCTCTGGCGGGAACCGGACACAGGCGGAACCACTTACTGAGCGGGACAGCAAGAGCGCTCCATCTTTGTCTAAATCTGAGTATCTATGCATCTGTTGCTGCCTTGATTTTCTCATTTTCTCACACTCCAGAGCCACCGATCGAGGAACGCCAGCGGGCTTGGATCTACAAAGAAAAGTTGACTCCAAAAAGGGTGCTTTGTACTGCGGCGAGGAGGGAAAATATGGTAAGAAGGGGGAAAAAAATCCGAAGAAATGGGAAGTGTGGAAGATTAAAAAGTTTTCTCAATGACAGCATCTTTACTTTTTCGGGTTCTCGATGTTGTTAAATGCTTTAGATTTCTATTTTCTATTTTTTATGAGGACGGCTTTTAGCGGGCGATCCCCTCCAACTACCTTCCAAACTTTAGACTGATAAATTCCCTTAACATTATCTAAACTTACTATAGGTATATAAAGGTAGGTAGGTTATTACAAAGTTATTTTGTTGTACACTTTATGGTGCAAACCTGTAAACTTGATTATTTAAAAAACTGATTTCACTATTTTTCATAAAAATAAATTTATGTAAACACTCTTGATTATTTAAAGATAGATTTCTTGTAACTGAACAGATAAAATGATAAATGAATTGTAATGCTTATTTTGAGGGTAAAAAAGAAAGATAAATAACTAAAAATTTAAATATAATTTTAATAAAAGAAAAATTGTTACATGTTGGGTGTAAATACCCAGCCTCTACCTCTAATCGTCTCGAATTGCCGAAATGGACGACAACAGAGTCAAAGAAAACCAAAGACACCAGCAGGCAGCTACAATCATAATTACGAGGTTAACCTTAAGAGTTGACACAAATCCGGCCAGAGCTAAGACCGAGGTACGGCGGCCTCTGCCGCTCGTTCCCAGCAATTAACTTCGAATGACACCAAATGCCACCGAGGCACGCCACCAGTCCACCAAGTCGCCATCAACATCCACCATCGGAAGTCCAGAAGAGCCGCACCACGCCGCCCACCATCGGATGGCAATTGCAAGTGAACGGCAACTTTGAAGCCGCCCACAAAGCGACAAAGTTGCCATACCCTCGCCAAAGGGTATCATTATTCTCCTGTAGAAGGCAGTGATTATATGACTCATTGCTTAAATGAGTTAATTTAAAATGTTTATATTTTATTTATTTTCATGACATTTTTTAAACTAGTCACCTGGAATGGGCTTTATGTGCTGAATTCAAATTTGGAATCGTATTTATAATATTCTACATATGTAGCAAAAAGGGCATTTTATGTTCTGATATTAGAATTCAGTTTCAGTTGCTGCTTTACCAGCTGCTGCTGATGATGTTGATGTTGTTGATGATGCTGATGATGCCTGTTGATGATCTTAGCTGGCTTTGGGCATGGGCAGTTTTGCGGTTTATTTGATCAGTGTACAACTAGCATTCCATCGATTTGTATGTAGGACTAGCAGGCGAAAAGGGAGAGAGACGGGTAGACATGGGGAGGGAAATGGGAAGTCTTACAATTTTGTAACGATGGAGAGATGTATCTCGCAGATACACAGGGGTTCCCTTGTGAAGTGCAATTGAAACACTGTGTGAATTTTTCAGCGTCAAGCTTTCGGTGCCTATGTGTTGGCTGTTTCTGTTTAAAAGTGTGCGAGTGTGAGAGTGCTTGTGACTTTATAACTTCATCTAATGCAGAGAAAAAAATAATACAATTCTTACTGAAATGTTCGGTATTAATCAAAGAATTTTAGATATTAACAAGAATTCGCTTTCTG